ACCCTGTTGCGTCTTTTCATGTTTAAATTTAGGCCCATTTTCCCACCTAATTCGGTTATATAATCGACATTTTCGAAATGGTGTGACTCTAACATAAGAAATGTTTTACAGTCTATAAATAAGATTGGTGATTTCTTGTTTTAGATATATGAAAATGTAAAATTAATTCTCTTCCATTTCTTCGTCTTTCTATTTAATTTAATTTTTTTTTTTTTGAAACCTTAATTTGTGTACGGAATACTATAGAACCTAATTACAAAGGCCAACATCTACATTTATTGTCGTTAGTGCACAAATGTGCATTTCATTGATTTCATGTATTTTGGAGGCTTATCCATTGGGCACTCATTTGTGCGGAGTTGTTCTTTCAAGAGTTTGCAAAAGAGTATCCTCATGAGGTTGACACATTGTTTAGAAAAAAATTGAATTACATCACCTGAGGAAATGTTGTTGGTAAATGGTAATCATATTAAACAACAATATTATGTATGGAGTATCCGTTGGTGAAAAACTAACACTTTTACCAATGAAAATTCTGTTAGTGATTTTCGTAGTTAAAAGTCTAATATTTTACTAACAGATAATCCGTTTCTGATTACCCACAGGTGAAAAGCTGATTTTTAGTAGTGTCACCAAGAATCTTAAAACTATATTCGAAGTAAATTTGCAATGGCTCCTCCTATATCATGTCTTAGAGATTTTGCAATGCATTTCTGTAAGTTGGAAGGTTCGACAGGACAAACTTTTGTGGATGGAGGAACAAGCTACATTTTCTTATTATTACATTGAAAGTGGACCGAAGATGAACCACTGGCGGATGCAAGGGTTAGATAAAAAAAAGTGAACAAGACGACTACATGTGCAAGGGTAACATTTGCACTGCTATATCAGGTGCTTTCTTCCACCAATATCACAAGAAGTCTACCGCCAATGATATATTTGACACATTGGAGGCTAAGTATATATCGGAAGAAGCTACAAGTGAGAACTTCTTGGCTTCTAATTTTTCAATATCACGTGGTGGATAATTAAAAGGTAATTGAGCAATTTCATGAATCACTCACATCTACAAACAATTTCTTCAATACAACATGAATATGAATGAGAGTCCATTGTGGTATCTTTTATCATAGACAAACTATCTCCATTGTGGAAAGATTATATGAAAAGTCTTAAACATCGGAAAGATGATATTTATATTGAAGAATATGGGTGCCATCTCCAGGTAGAGGAAGAGTTCAGAATGAACAATTCGGAAGAATATAGTGGCTAATCTTCTAGAATACATGTTAGGCCTCTCCACTGAGACTCTACATGGAGATATGAATAAAAG